AACAAGACCATTAAAGAACTTAAGATTAAAGTTGCTGTTGCCAAGAAAGCTTATGCTCAAACTAAAGACGCTGCTAAAGCTAAAGAACTTAAGGCTTGCCTTAAGGGACTTAAGAAAGCCCAAGTTGCTTTTGCTGCTCAAGTTGCTAAAGAACAAAAGAAGACTAAACAATTCAATAAACTTCCAGTCCAACAAAAAGAAGCTAAACAAGTCCTTGATGCTAACAAGGTTATCAGATTAACTGCCCCATGTACCCTTGAAACTAAGACCCTTACAAAAGGAATGAAGGCATTTGATGCTGTTGCTCATCTTAGAAAAGCTAAGAATGTAGCTAAAGCTGTTTCTGGAATTGCCAAGGGACAAAAGAAAGCTAATAACGCTCCTTCAAAGAAACAATAATTGCAATGAATGCTTTGGTAACAATTAATTTTTTTTTACTATTTAATGTTTTTTATTTTATAATGTTTGTTTAGAATAAATTTAAAAAAGATTTTTATTTAATGTATTAAGAAATATAATTAAATAATTTATTTATTAAAAAAGTATAATAAAATTATTATTAATTGTAATATTTATTAAAATGTGAAATAAAAAGGGTTTGAAACTTTCAAAATTAAATATTTGCAGCACAACAAGGTAATATCGGTTTTCGATAAAGTCTTGTGGTGGAAGATTATGAAATAGAACATAATTTAACAGTGCGGCAAGAAGTTAGGAGTTCCATAGTACGCGAGGTTTTCACCGGACGTCTCCAATTCTCCAATATTTAATATTAAACAGTAATAATAAATAAATGTGTTTATTACCTTTTTTTTCTTTTGATTTTAAATAGTTAAATATTATTTAGTAGATCTTTATGTTGTGGTTGAAAGAAAAATTTTTAAAATTAAAAAGGTGTTCATTTAAAAACTTAGAACTTTTCTGTTTCTACTTTAACAATGAATTTAGAGCTAGTAACTTCTTTATTACCTAATCAACAACAAAATGAATTTTCTGTTTGTCCACGCTGTTGTAAAGATAAAAGTAATTTCTTGTCATTAAAAAAAAGAACAAAGTGTGCTTGTTGTCATCGTTTTCTTTGTAGTGAATGTCTTTATTCCGTAGAAGACATTACTAAGAAAGAAATTCGGTTGTGTTTTGCATGTTATTATCCATACCAAACAAACAAAGGAAGAATATTTCAATTAAAATCACATATTCCTTGTTTGCCAAAGATAGTTCAAATATTTTTAAGTAATGAACCAATGACAAGACAAGTTGCTTTTAAAGAATTTTCAAAACTGTGGAATAATGATGGAGTTGATTATGAATTTGTTGTTAAAAGTGGATTAATACCGTATATGATTAAACCACTGCAAGACTTAAATTCATCACTACTTCTATCAGAAATCATAAAGGAAGGATTAAAAAGAAATATTGATGTGAAAA